CACCCGGCAGTAGAGATTACCGGCGAGTTGCCGTTGTGTTGTGGCGACAAGAGGCAGGCCTTGCGCATACATGGAATACCCGGCCTGAACTAGTTCATCGGCCATCTGACTTGCTTCAACGTCCATATCAACGAAGTCTTGTACGCGATACTGCATCGCCGCGAGATGTCCTGATAGTCGAGCACTCACCTGGTCCCACCGCTGATCGTGTGGGCTGGCAATAGGACTTGGTGGCGACACGGGGCCGGAGTGTCCATGGCCAAAGTTCTGGCTGGTCTCTTCGCCGCGCTTGCCAACGTTGATGCTGTCTGGAGCATCATGTTGTGCGCATGGTGGGACATTCCCCTGCTGATGGCCAAGTCGTAATCTCTCAATAACATCCTCTTTTTCCTGGTATTTCCGCTTCAAAGACTTGATCTCAGTGCGTAGGCTTCGTTTGGTGCGATGGTGTCGGGCCTCATAGTTGCACTGGAGGCTGCGTTGGGCGCATCGTGAGCAAGGGGAGGCGCCATCGCACTGCGAAAGGCTGTCAGTCTTGTGGTTCGCTGTACTGATTTGGTGAGGAGGGCCAAACCCTTGTCTTCTTTGCGCGGCATGCATCGCAAGCTTCTTTGATGCAATGTCGACGGGTTACACCAAGGGTCGAGCTGCGTGATGGCGATGGACGGTTGGGAGGAGTCCTTTGGTGCAGCTGGAATTCGTGCCATATTTGAGGGAGTAGATAGGACGTTGGTGCGTCCGACAGAAAATGAACGCAGCTGGTGCCATTAAAAAGACCGCCGTTGAAGGATACAGGGTATGACACCTTAATGACGTAGCCCCCATCGACCCCAAGTTGAGCGCCGGGAGGGTACATCCTTTAAAGGCTTTTTTGTGGGGGGGGGGGGGGGGTTGCCGGTACTTCGTATGCAATATGCCGTATGAAGTACTGCTTGAGGGGATGCGGGATGGTTTGTGGGTGCGCCCTGACCAGAGTTGGACGGGAGGGGGAATGGGCCAGAGCCCAAACTAAGTGGCATGTTCGTCGTTCGACAATGGAGACGGCGTGGATGGAAAGGTGGAGGAGTATCGACGTCTCAGGTCCCTATTACCGACACCCCGTCCTGCCGGCTACCACGCCTGGCAGTCAAGGTCGGTATGCTATGTCAAAAGATGTGCTGTCACTGCCACTGATCGCGGGGCTTACATGAGATAGCGACGGCGAGGATGGATTCTCTCTAATATTGAGCCTCCCGTCATACATGTTAGCGTAGTGTCCCACCTGTCAAAACAGTCATTCCTTACGTGTACCTAACCTACCTGGTGGGTGTGGAAATAAAAAAAGGCGTGAGTCAACGATCGTTAGGCGGGGTAAAACCTATTGATTGATGACGATGTTGGGGGTAACGGGCCGCAGATCCTCCGCGCGGTTTCCTTGTTCGTGCCAAGTATGCCTTGTTCAAACACCTGCTTCTGCAGGTTGCGGAATGATGCCTTTGGTATGCCACCTTTTGCGTTGGCCTCCGCGCCTGCGCCGTCGTGCTGTCCGCATATTCCGAAACCTAAGCTCAACGTTGAGGCTAGCATTACCGCAAACATCAAGAAGCAATCTGAAGTCAGCAACCATACGCCTCAGGGTTTTTACTGATCCTACTCCTTCTTCGTGGTGCCGGGGAGCCCTGTCTGGTTCTTCGCTTTGGCCGTCAGTGTCGTGGAGTCGGTTCACGCGCTCTGGCGCCTCGGTCCTGGTTGGGCCGAGGAGGTTCCCAAGGAGGTGGTCCAACGCCGCCAGACAGGCTAGAGACATCCGGCTGTATCCTTGACCAATAAGAAGCAGGATTTTGAGTCCCCCAGAAAATTTGCACGCAATCTAGCACTTGAGCCCTTCGGTGCCCACTTCGCCATCAGAGCCGATGTTGGGACGGACTTTGAGACCGATTAATAGGAGCACGTGATTGGGTTAGGGACAATCTCCCCCCCCCCCCCCCCCCCCCGGGGAATGTTCCAGCCCGTTGGTCAATGGTTGCCCATACCAAGTATGCCCATCTCTACCATAGTATATATCCTGCATGGTGTGAAGTGGGGATTTTGTCCCCCTTTCCCATGCGCGGCCTGCAGCTTGACACCTTTCTCATTCCACTTTTCGTTTTCGTCTCCATATTGCCCGTTTCTTAGCCCTCAGCCTGCTCGCCTCACAGGGGCGTTGGTCATGACGTTTGGTTTTGCGGCTCAGGAGCCTATATGAAGCCGCAGCAAGCCCCATGCGATTCGCTCTCAGGGGATGGAATCGAATGCCTTTCCATTGCCAAGAACATCTACTCCCAAGAAGACCACCGACGCCGATTTCGAATCTGTTCAGACTTCGTTACTATCGTAAGAGCTTCACCTCTCCTATCTCCGACCTAGCCTATTACAGACTCCTTACTTGTCTCGAGCTCCTGAGCCCTAGCTGGGAACATACTGCGCAACCTACCTTGCCGACCCCTGCCCACCAAGCAACCGGTCTATTTGATCAAACGATATCACACAGCGACTTCATCACTGCCGTCAACAGCCTGACACTCTATCCAGCTGGCTAACACCAGTTTTGTTGCTTTGAGGACGTTTATCCAACTCTTTGCGCTCAATCTTTTCAACCTCCGCTACTGGCCGCCAGGCTGCATCTGCCCGGCACCTCCGACCAAGACGGCTGTCAAAGAGTTCGGTGGGGATACTGTCTTACTCGCGCAGCTAGCTACAGCCATGTCTCCGTTAACACGCAAGGCTAAGGCTAAGGCCAAGGCCACCACTCTACCAGAGGCGCGCTCCTAGGACAGCATCAGCAACGCTTCGCCTCGGGGTGCCACTTCTCCCGACTCCTTCATCGACCTCAACCCCGAGAATCAGTCCATGGCTCCCCATGATGCATTACGCAGAGAGCAGAGTACATCACATCAACAGCTTCTGCCGCAACCCCCTTCCGCCCTGCTGAATAGACGCGACCGCCGTCTCAAGACATCCTATACCGAACAAAAACAACCTTCGGTATCCAAAGCAGTCGCCCCGAGGGTTGCGGACAAACTTCGTACTTCGGTCTCTTCAATCGACTCCTCCCTCTCCGCGACCGACAATCCACCATCCAACTCCGACAAGAAAACGCGACGCTGCCCGCAAATGCCGCGTTCGCAAGCAGCGCGGCATCGAAGATCTGCAGACACAGGAGGCCGCCATCGATGCCGTGAACCAGTGCCTTAAGGATCAGTACACTGAGCTGCGCGGCGAAGTTCTTCTGCTCAAGAATATGATTCTTCATGACATGCTCGTTGATGGGTTCCAGAAGCTGTACCATTTCCCCGGCTTGTAATCACTTGAGACCTTCCCCGCCAGACGACTGGCGATATCAGCCCGGCCACGCTTTGGCTCTCGGGGAATTGGCATGCTCTAACACTTGATGGAACTCTTGAAGGTAAGTGTATAAATCTCGATGCTTTGCCCTGAAGATCTAATCATCTTTTCAGAAGCCTTTGAACGGACATCGAGGGATAGCGCTGAGGAGCTCAAGGATACGTTGGAGAAGCTCAAGCGGCAGTAGATATATCTCATAAGAAATGAGCCAGGAATACGTGTTGTAGTTGCCAGGCCTGATACATCGACTCATCTCCTTTGCAGCTGTTCATCACTCCCGCACACGAACCTAATGAAGTGTTCTAGTTCTTACAAGTTGCCTATGCCGCCGCTCCACGTCGCCTGCCCAGGATGTTACATACCGCTCCTTTGCTGCTTGTGGCGAGCCGCCTCAGTTGCTGGGCAACAAACATCATCAAAGTTGCTCGGCCGCTATGACATATTGCTGAATTTCGCTACTTATTTTGCTGACAGGCTTCGCGATGCTTCTGTAATGCTCCGCTTGGTTGTCGGCAGTCCATTAATCCGCCGCGACAGCTACGTGCGCATCTTTCAGACCGTTATTGACCTCATCTCTGCCGAACGGGTTTTTCTGCAGATGGAATCCGTTGATTTTCAGGAACATGTCTGCCGCCAGAAGCGCGGCCCTTTTGTTGCCATCCTGATAAGCATGATTCAGGATAATTCTTGCTGCAAGGATTCCCGCTAGCTGAAAAATATCGTCCTGGCCGTGGTAGTACTTGTTGTTCTGTGACGAGGAAAGTGCGGACTCCAGTAGCGGTAGTTGCGTCGGGCTGGCACGAGTGACATGGGTTTCATAAAGCTTCATGATTTGAGAAGCGCTGGGGAAGCGAAGAACTCTGCTGGAGGATGAAATGATGGCAATTAAGACAAGGGCTGAGGGGGAGCTGAGATTTTCTATCTCTGAAAAATTGAGATAATAGCCACATTTGAGAAAGAGGGTTGGGAATCTCAAGCAAGTTTATATGCTTCAACAATGGTCAGAGGGAAGGTTGGGCGTCAATCGGCGACGGTAGTTGCTCTATCATGACCGTAGACAGGGAGATGCCCCGAAATGGTACAGATATCCGACACGTAACTAATAGCCCCGCAGCCTACATCATATAAGCGCCGAGATGGTATCATCGCCGTCTCTCTGCCCCAATCCCTTCTGTTTTGGTAGAACCGCATGTGTTGCCGCCAGGAGGCGGCGGCTTCGCGCCCAATTGCGAAACAAGCACACCTACATTGAGCTATTCGCTTCACGTTCTAACCACTACCTGAGCGCTTAATCATGGGGGAGTTCACTTTAAGTGGCCGGCCCTCTCTTTCTTGGCTGGCTAGAGCTTTGTAGCTCCTCGTTCACAAACTCTGCTGGAGCAAGGATTTGGGGAGCTTTAGTCTATTTGACATGCGGTTATGCCAAACAATTCCATTACATCACCTGCGCACCTGCTTCAAAACGCTCCCTGCCATGATTAACAGCTTCATGCCCGTGTTTGCCTGGGCTTGCCACGATGGCATTTAGCGTTATCAAATCACCATTTACGACGACGCAGCTATTTTAGGTCTGCATTGGTTCAGCTCGGGGCTTGGGGTTGGCGGCCATGCTTGCTATATGCCAGGGGGGTTCGTTTGAGGTAGCGGGGGGAAGGACGACAGCGCGGAAGCCTCGCGCAACGACTAAGTGAAGAGGATATCGACCTATCCGAGTGCCAGTATGCTTGGGATCCAGAATTGGACCTTATTGAGGAGCCCCTACAGAGGTTCCAGAACTAGCGTGGCCAAGAAACTATGTCTCGTCGTCTTTGAGCACGGCCCATGAGGATCTGGAGGTGCGATGTTGACCAGGTACATCAAAGTGGAACCCAATACTTACAGACGTCAGATCCGGACCTTCACGAAAGTAGCCATCCACTTCGCCTGGGACTCGACCTTGACTGAGCCTGACTGAAAGCAAGGGTATTAGGATAACAGAGAATGGCAATATCCAGCAACTCCACCGGCTATAAGCACGATTCTGGCTATATAAGAAAGCTGCGCTCCTCCACGGGTCGCCATGGCGCCGGCGTCGCTATGGGCTTCACGACAGTCAGCAGTCTATCTGATTGACCTTTCGGGGCGTGTTCTGGAGCTTTTTGTGGCTTGGGATTCCTGAAGGTTTCGTTCTCGCTGGTGCTGATGTTTTTTTTTTTGGTTAGCTTAAGCTCTGGTTGGGGTGGGATGGTTGACGTCACAATTGAATACTGTTGAGTGTGTTTCACTGCTTACGTGAACCCAGTCCGTAGCTTTGGTTGTGCCTGAGAGTTCTGGATTCTAGATTCGGTGGTGTAAGTAGCTTGATTAGTTCGTGTGTGTAAGTTCTGTCTATCTAAGTGCTTCCAGCGCTCAGTGTATATGGGATTTACTGCTCGTCCGATCACGTGGCCATAAATCCACATGATCCCCCAATCCAATACTTGGTTCACCAATTACTAAAGTCACGTGAAGGTCTTCTTGCAGTCAGTTCATTAACACGAACCCCGCTTCTTCCTTGTAGATTTTCATGAACAAACAGCGCCTGCTCATTCATGCAATTCCTATGGTACTGAGCTATGAATCAAGTTTGTCAAAACCCATATTCTGTACTCGACCTTCATGAAACCTTATAAAAGCATTTTGCCTGCTCCCGCCCATTGGAAAGCGGCCGATTCGCTATTCCAGCAGTCACGTACGCCCTTCGACAATTCCAGCCCGATACCTAAGAAGCGAGGTCCTTTGACCATTGTGGCATGCTCTACGTGCCGCCAAAAACGTACGAAATGTGATGGCCACCGACCTGTATGCTTTGCTTGTGCCGACGCGAGCTTCCAAGCTGCAGCAGAGTGCTTCTATGACCTTGAACAAGGTGTCACTCGGCTCGCCGCTTTGAGAAAAGAATACTGCGAGCTTAAACGTCGCGTTTCCCTCTTGGGAATTTTTTTCCAATTCCCCGCTTTGCAGTCCGCAGAGGCAAAGGTAAGGGTCATCAGGTGGATGAGGGAAATCGATTTAGATCAAGATGTCGACCACTTCCTTACCTCAGATGGCCCCAATCGACTCCTCCTATCGAAACCTGGTCACGGTGATCGCGATGTCGAAGTCCCAAAATTCAAGGCAACCGAAAGTTATATGGAGCTTGGGACTGTGTCCATAAATGATGAAGTAGACATCTTATTCGAAGATCTGTAAGAGACCCACGCATCGAAGATTGGCCTTATGTTTCGAAAACTGACCTACAACTCAAAATTAGGTTTGATATCATAGAGCCCCTTGACTGTTCGTCACGGCTATCGGTGACTTCAGAGACGATGCTATTTATTCTAAAGGCTGAGATGGAAGACTGGCCTGATGAAATTCTCGTAAAAAACCAACAGTTGGATTGGGGGGATGATTCTGACCCAGCAATGTTCGAGAGTACCTCACTGTAATAAGCTGGCCGTCGAGCGACTCGTTGGGACGAGGTCTTGGACGTATTATTACTCCTAAAGAGAAGAACAAAGGGATAATTTAATTAGGGTTCTGTATACACCGAACTGTCTCTACACTGTTTCTCCAAGATTGATTCTTTGCCTACAGCCTGTCAGCCCTGCTGCGGTTACCACCAACCCCTGTAAAGCCTACCCTTCTGACACATTGCCTCATCGCGAGCGCTGTCAGCACGTCTACCACTTTAATCGCAAAGAGAGCAGGAAAACGGAATCTTGTCACAACCGAACACTCCACGACGTGGCGAACATCGTTAGATGGCTGCGAAAAGATCAAGGCTGATGAGATTATACCAGCCCATCCTCTCATCGGGCTAGCTAGCAGCGGTTATTGGTGCTGTGGGGTTCCCCCGGGAGACGAGTTGTCGAAGACGGCTGCGAATGCCAACAGCGGAGCCGACTTGGCCTACGCACAGGGTTGCACCCTCCGACGATGGCGACGCTCTCTATCTTCGATGGACACCCTACAGCATGAAAATGCCGACGTTCCGCCACGGCCGCATTCGCATCCTCAACGCTGGCTTTGTTCTCTACGCAGACGTCATGCCCGATAAGACCTTGGACTGGACGGCCTTTCAAGTTGCTGTCCTTGGCGGGGCCGGCGACTTCGTCTCGGACAGTTGGGACCCCATGCACGGCTCTGACGATGATGAGCTGGAAGGCATCACGACGTGGTTCGACGATTTTAGCTTCAAGTCGGAGGGCAGGCTCGTGCGAGCCAGACGTTCCGTCCCGGCCGGGCGGCTGGGTACGACGCACTCGCGCCGAATGTCTGATGCTGCCAGTTCCAACTCAGCAATCATCGCAGACTCATACAGACTTCTGAGGTCTGCTTATGGGTGCCTGCACACATGATCATGGAGACGGAGCAGCAGATCACTGGCCATAGACACCGTTGCGGAACCAGAACGACTGTTCAGACAAGACGTTCTCAACACGACGGCCACAGCGGGCTACAGGTTGAGCAGGGAAGATGGGATGTGGAGCCCACCACAGAGCTCTATGATGGATCTCTTCTTCGTGGGTGAAGCTAGCATCGAAGATATCGTCCCCATGGGGTATAATATAGGGCATGGCTTGGCAGGCTTTCTGGAGTGGGCATCGGGTTACTCGTGATCCTTGGGGCAAAAGTATACCCCACGCTGCACTAGCAGAATGTGCGACATTGCACGTAGCGTCATCAGCGTCATCAGCGTCATCAGCGTCATCAGCGTCATCAGCGTTTTCAGTCTCAATGAATCAATTACGTATTGTCACCTGTGTCTCTACCCCCCCTTGCGAGAGCATCATAGTTACCGGGTATGCAATTTGACCTACATCATCACATTTATGAAGACAGCAATCAGTAGTGATGCGGGCATCCAGATGTCTGGTGCGTGGCGGTCAGCCAAGGAACCGACAAACCAGTCGCGGCCTTCCAAAGGCAGGGCGGCAAACGCGGCGTAATATTCGTCAGTATGAGACAGGTCGCACCACTAGGTGCCTTGTGTGCCTTCGCTACTATATATAGTCGTATTCACGACCTGCAGTCCTCATATGCTAGGCTTCACATATATCGCAACACCACGCGCCACCTGCGACGGAAACGCCCTGGACTCTCAATTCATTTCGGGAGAAGGACAGAAGTAGGAGACCCTCAGCGATATTTGGCCAGTTAAGACTGCTCTCAAGACCGAAAAGAACCAACATCCAAGAAGGTCATTCAACCTAATGCAGGAACCCCTAGCTATTTAGTTAGCCTCTTGAGTAAGGGGAAACAGGATATTTTCCCCCCTCACAACTCAAGCCGCCTAGAATCCCGAGACAACCAAACCTCAATATCAGGCCAGCGCCAGAATGACACCAAATGAATCATCCCAATTAGAGGGTACAACTCTAGTATAGCAGTGGCCAATCAAACGATTAACAGTACAGGGCGGGCACAATGTTGTAGTAGACGTGACTGAGATTCTTAAGGGGCTCGAAGACAAATATTTCGGCACGTAGACCCCGATAGTACTGTTTCCTATCTCTCTAGATCTAGTATAAACTGAGATCTTTGAAGAGCCAATAGATTACGTCACTCACACAATTAGTTATGACCGTCCTGAACCTTCCTCTTCCATTTCCACGAGACATAATTATGCCGCAATCGCTCAAAAAAAACACCCACTTCAGTAAGAATTATCGACGTTTCTCTGATAATTCAGCGTGACGGCAACGGACTCAGCCCTCGGTGCATTGTGAGCACATCGCCTAAGACATCTTCTGTCTTACAATGCTCACCATCTGCCGCTTCCTGACCTTCTTTTGACGCCTCAACTCCACCTGCTCCGACGACCTGAGCGGGACACCATGTACAGAGTGGACATGGTTCCGAAAGTGGTCCAAGTGCTGGAACTTTTCCTTCCTACACTTCGGGTGGTCGCAGCGTATCGGCTCGCCACGTTGCTCAGCGAGCTCCCGTTCTTCCAAATGATGGTCATCAAAATGGTCATTTCTGACCACGGGGCGACAATACTTGAATGTCCGCTGCCCGGAGGAAAGCCGCTCATCGCCAATGCAGCTCGGGCACTGAGTCGGGTCCATTAGTAGGGGGAAATCATCTTGCTCAGGTGTTTAGGCGTCTCCTGCTTGATGGATATGTTCATCTGCGGTCGGGTTCGTAAGCGTTCGCGCTTGATCGTCTCCCGCCTATCGCATAACGCCACCATTGTGTTAATAGCCTCGATTCGTAGCTGGTGAACTTCCGTCTCACTCAGATCCTTGGGCTGCTTGCATAAAATCTCGGCGAGCCGGGCCCGGTCGGGAATCTCGAGGTCAATCGCTGGCTCGACATACTCCTCTTCCTCCTCGTCTCGCGCTTGCCTCTCGATGTTCCAGGTTGGCCGGTTGTAGAAGTAATGTTTCCGATATTGGTCTACAATCTTGGCCTCACGCCCTACTCGCATCGTCCTGATTGTCTCTGTGAGCTGGCGGATCTTGACTTCATACTTGTGGCCTCGAATTTGATACGACCACTGCTTTAGCGCCGTCCGCTCTTGTTGCAGCTCAACAATCTCTGGGTCGGGGGGGAGATTCGCCCACACCTCTGCCGGGACCATATCTCGCTTCGCCCGAGGATCACGGGCCAGGCTGACGTGCGCGAACAAGCGGTACAATTGATCTTCAGTCTCTTCTTCCAGAAACGTGTTTTGCAAGTCGAACTGAACCCTCTCGTTGAGGTAGGCGCCGTGAAATGTGGCGAACTTCGAATCGTGGCGCATCATTTGATCGCGTACTACGTCAGGCGCATTTCCTGAGAACCCCTTATCAGTTGCGGTCCACTTTCAGACGCCCGGGGAAAGTTCTAATATACCATTAGCCGCATCAGACGCTCCTCTGCGGAAGATCTTGGCCGTCCAGCGCTGCTCGAACCCAGCGTCCAGACTTTGTCGACCAAGGTCGTCTCTGAATTTGCTGTGCAGCATGTCCTCGGTCTTGGACAGGTCTCCACCACGCCCGAAGCGCCGAAAAACAGGAATCTTCTTCACGTCTTCCTTCCACCGGAGCGGAGTGCATTTAGTGGAACCCCAGTTCTTCGTCCCGAGGACCCGTGTAGCGTTCGTCAAGCTCGGCGCGTCGAAAGCCTGGTCATGCAGCGCGAGGGCGATCATGATGCTGACGGGACAAAATATTAACTCCCTGGTGGGCGTGAAGGAGAAGATGGTGCTAGCCTCTGTTAACGACAGCATGGTGTGACGACAATGCCTGAGAGCTAGACACTTACGGTTTTGGCTTGTTGTCTGATCCCTTATGGTGAACAAACTTGATCGACATGACCGGGATGGCTCGACGCGTCACCGGGTGCTCGACAATCATCATGGAAATGTCCTCGTAGCAGAGGGCTTTTGGGCGTCCGCGCCCTGTGGTCTGCGTGCAGGGGATCTCGTCTAGGCGCAGGGACTCTTCATCTTGTGCGACTTCAGATTCTCCTCCTTCGTCCTTGTCGGCACTTTCACTGATGGTCTGTCGTCCTTCCGACGGGACAACCTTGAGGCCAAAAAGCTCTTCCATAGAGCCGTCTTGAGGTCGCTGCCGCTGGTTGTGAACTAGCTCGGCGATCCTGGCGCCAGTATAGCTCAGAATGAGGTAGCAACAGGCTTGATTAAGCCGGTGACGCTCGCCAGGAAAGATGCTAGTGTCATAGGCTATGTTGAACGTGAGGAGAACCCGCACCTCGTCTGCACCAACCACAGGTTTACCATTCACGTTTGGTTCGCGGAGGCCAAAGCGTGGGACCAATACTTGACGGTGGTACTGATGAAGTATTAGCAAGCCGGTTTCATGAAATCAGTGCAGTAGTGCCCGTACCTTGTAGACCTCCTTGGCATCATTCCTATCGACGTAACGGCCGGCGATGGTGGTGTACAGCTGCTGAAACTGTCGGATGTATACATGTGATGTTCCCCATGACTTGACGTTATAGTTGCCACAGACGAACAGGAAGAAGTCCATCGTTAGTTCGCATGTCAGGTTCTTGATCGTAGCCCTCCAGTCTCCAACGTTCGTCTCGGCGCACTACCTGGAAGGACAAAGTAAGTAGGCTGACGTCAAGCCGAGCCAGCATGACAACGCTGCAGAACTTACGGTTTCCCTTTCCCCAACATGCCAGACATATTGATCTCGGTCTCGTCGGCGAATTTCGGTTTAATAAAGCGAACGCTCTCGAGTCGTTTTCTGTGCGCGGCATGTTCCTCAACCGACAAAGGTAGGGGGCGATTGGACACGCGGCCGTCGGCCTCCCGCTGAGCGACAAGGTTGAGAAAGTCTGCATGATTGTTGTCAGGGGGGCCATTCGCTCCGGGCCGGCGAGCAGCGGTACAACGGCGCGAAGCCATTCGGACGGTCGCTGCGTGGGTACCGACAGGTTCGCTGACGAGGGATGGCAAAGGGCAGGCGTGGGTGTTCACGGTGGGATCATCAGAGGGTCGGCCACAGCGGATGTGAAAATGAAGTGAAGGGGGTCGAAAGGCGTTGCCGCCTTTTATGGCGTAAAATAATCTTCAAAGGTAATAAGGCCATTAC